ATTATTGGAAAAAGCAACTTTATTAGAAATTCTCAAAAGAGATGATTTTTCTGTTAATGAGATAGTTATTTGGGAAAACATTCTTCAATGGGGATTAGCAAGACATCCTGAAATCAACAATATCAATGTTGAAGATTGGTCATTACAAAATTTTGGTGATTTAAGCAACACATTAAAAGATTTTCTTCCTCTGATAAGATTTCAGGATGTTTCTAAAGAGGATTTTCTTGATAAAATTGAACCATATGATATACTTTTTCCTAGGACTTTACGGAAACCCCTTTTACAACATTACATAATTCCAGATAAGCAACAAACATTGAATTTATTACCATCAAGAAATCCAAAATTTAAATCATTGAACTCAAGACTTGAATCATTGACAATCAATCAAAACCTTACTTTTCTTTTTGCAAGTTGGATTGATAGAAAAAATCCACCATATACTTCATTCAAAGAAGTCAAATATGAATTCAAGCTTCTATATCAAAGTAGCAGAGATGGCTTAAATGGAACTACATTCCATCAAAAATGTGACAATATCAACAAAACCCTTGTAGTTGGTAAAATACAAAATTCAGAGCAAATAGTTGGTGGTTATAACCCACTTAACTGGAATGGGGATGGGTATAAAAACACAACAGAAAGTTTTATTTTTAATATTAGCAATAGAAGTGATATTAATACTGCACAATTTAGTTATGTTATTAATAATGATTATGGTCATGCAGTTTATTGTCATTTTTATAATATACCTCTTTTTGGTAGTGGTGGTGGTGTTTGGTTTAGTACAGATGGTAATTTTGGTAGTAGACCAAAGACTTATAATAACATCAATATAGTATCTGGTATATTTGATGAACTAGAAGTTTTTCAAATAATTGATATTTAAATTTATATTTTTCTACGAATAAATTTACATAAACACAAAATACTACCACAAAACTTTCTTGATAATAAACACGATACCTATTTTTTCAACTATTGCAATTATTTATTTAAAAACAGTATGCTTCGTTACCTAATTTAATTGTAAATAAACTTATATACAAAGCCCAGATGATAATTAATAATGATTGTATGAAATTACCAAAAATCAAGTGGTTGTAACATTAAATATTAATTTCATGAAGAAATCGCAAGTATCTGATATTGATTATGTTGATGTTGCTGGCAATTCATCAAAGTCTCTAGGAGAACAAGAATCTCAAAAAATATAAAAAAATTTTTCTTTTTTTTGCGGGAAATACATGATTATTATTATTACTACTATTATTGGGGTGAATTCTGGTCGGCACATAATAATAAGTAGGTAATTATTAAATACTATTTTTTTCCGCAGAGTAAGCTGAGATTTTTATTATTAAACGTGAATATGGGATCGCATCAATTTGTGAAAAAAATACAGAAAATGATTGATTTCGCGCTTTTAACGGAGACACGGGTCAAGGTTGGATGATAAATGCGACGAAATAGGATTTCTGCACTTGACGAAAGTGACGCAGTTGACGATAAAATAAACCAATTAAATTCTAATTCATCAATTCTTTCTGTTACAATTAGCAGCAGTTAAATTATTCTCAGTTGTTCCACATATTGGTGGATGTGAACGCGTTTTTCATATTTAAAGAGACTTTATGGAAAGAATTGTCAAATATTAATTCTGTAAATAAATATTGCTAAAATTCATTCTTTTGTCTAAGTAATATTAAAAAAGAATTAAAACATACTGGGTCAGACTTTATCAGAAAAAGGGTTGAAGCAGAAGTTAATTTGGATAAAAGTGATAATCATGATAACAATGATGATGAGACAGAGGATTTAGAAAATAAAAAATTCTTTTTTGAAGACAATGATAAAATGGATGAGGATATGGAATTGGGAAATTCTTAAAAAATTACAATGATGATAATAATTCAAATTATGATTAGTTAACAAATGAATGAATGAGAGTTTATTCCGGAAAAAGTAAATGAAGAAGCATTTCAATATATATTTTGACCACGTGTCCATTTGACGAAATACTTGTTACGCTCCTTGGCACAGGTAAAAAAATGAAATATGTATTGACCCATACGAAAACGAAGGAATGGGAACAACCTAACATTTTCAACAAATGGATATATGGATTGTTAGTAATTTTTGTCTTCTACATTCCATTGGTCATTTTATTTATTTAACATTTGAGATTCAAATTTTATTATCATTCTAGTATTCTAGTTCTCCTTACAATAAAGCAACCCGACTCCTTCCGATATACCACAGAATAGTGTTTTGAAAAAAAGAGTCAGGGCGCGCTATTTTTTACAAGGAACAGTATAGTAATGAACGCTTGCAAATTTTTCAATTCGGTAACTTGATGTGAAAAACAGGTGGTGGCCCTTGGAAAAATTCCAAGTGGCATTAAAGACAAAGAACACTTTGGAAGTATTTGAAACAACTTTAATTTGCGGTTTACTTTCCTACTAGTGGCCCACCGCAAGAAGGGATCTCAAAATTGCAAACGCATCTTTGTGCTCTTTAAAAAAAGAAAAACTTATTTACTTTAGAAATATTTATACATTAAAATAATAATAATAAATATGTATATGTATATGCATATTAAACAAATAAAAATCATACAAGAATATAAATCATAATAAAATATATAAAGATAAAGCATTTATTTAATGCTGCTAGGATTATCTAAAGCCATTAGACTACCAATGAATGTGAGAATCTACATAGAAGAAAAAAATTATTATTATTTATTATTAAAATCAAAATATTAAAATATCAATAATATATATGAAAATGAATTATAAATTACCAAACGAGGTCTAACTTCAACAATGTCTTCAGGTAATAGGAAAATAGTAGCTCCAATTTTTCTTGCAATAGAAATTGAATATCTTGCATTTAATGTCGCATCATCCTCTGAAAAAATTTTTTTTAATCAATTAATTGAATAATTAATAATAGTAATAAATAAACATGAATAGAAAAGTACCAGATATGCCCCTTGTAACCAAACTATAATCTACTATTCCTGGTCTTATACCATTTAGTAAATCAATCAAAAAGATACCACTTCTCAATGATGAATCTTTGAAACTATTCATTTTTGTTGTTTTTCCACCACGTCTTACTGTTTCATTTGCCCATTGAACTAAATCTGCATCAGTTATTTCACGACCACCTTTTGACAAACTTATCAAAGTTTGGATTATATTTAATCGCATCATTTGCCAAACAAGACCAAGAATTAAAGTCTTTGTTCCATCAACAATATCTGCGCCTTGAATATTAACAAGTGTGAATTTCAATGATTGACCAATCAATATGGCGTAATTGGTATTTTCCACTTGTTTAAATCTTGAGAGATTATTGTTATTGGCTTTGTTTACTTTCTTCCAATTAACTATTCCTGGCTTAAGTTTTTCAAAGGCTTGAAGAATAACTAATCCATCCTACGAGGTCAAACCAATTATTAGTTTTAATATAATAATATAATAAATATCATGAACAAATAAATCAAGAAATAGATAAAATAATATTTTTGTAATAGCAAACCTTGAGATCTTCATATAAATTATTAACAGCAGGTGTAACATCTAAACTATTTAGCCATAGAGCAAACACTAAATATTAAATTAAATAAATATTAACTAAGGAAGGAAACAACAAAATAAAGATAAAGATAAAGAAAAAACTTTACCCCTAGCTTCTCTATCATCACTATCATCAAATTCTTCAAGATCAGCTTTTTCTTCTTCATCAAGTGGTGCAAGACCTGGATGAGTATTAAACAAATTCGCCACAAAGGCTAAATTTAATTTAGGATTTCCGGCAACAAGAGCTTTTGGTGTAAGGTACTTTCTGCATCCCAATTTCTCAGAATTTTGTAAAACCTATTTAATTATATTAAAAAAAAAAAAAAAAGACCATATCATTTAGTATATTATTAATTTAATCCTATACAAACGTCTTAAGGCTCAACTATTAAATGAATCCACCTTTTCTGCACGTTCTAAAAGATCTCGTTCCTTTAAAGGATCTCGTGAACAAAGATCGGGAGCTAATTGATTTAGAAGAACAGTGTAATTTTCACCATCAGATACATCTTTACTAAAATTTTGAACTCTAATAAAATATATATGTTAGTAACATGAATATGAAGCGAGTATCTCGCACTCAAGATGTAATATTTATATACAACTTACCGACGTTGCCATTTAGCAGCTTTTAAATGATAATTGAACCATCTCAATAAAATTTGATCAGGAGGTAATTTTAAAAATTGTTCTAAAGTTTCGTCATCTTCCAAAAGACGATATAATTCAGGATGAAGCTTTATATCAATTTTATTCAACAAGCCAATCTTAATGATTTGCCAAATGAGACCTAAAATTAAATGCTCTCTGCCCTCAATTAAATCAGCTGAACCAATGTTTACAACATTACAACCAATTCCTTTTGCTGAAAAAATTACTAAATTATTATTTTCGGTCATTTGAAACTTGTTGACTTTCTTTCCTTTTTTAGGAACATTAAGTACACGTTCATCAATTGTATCAGGTACCGAAGTATTTATAAGTTTTGCAAGAAGCAAACCATCTGATAACAATAATAGTTATTGTATGGTTATAATTATGGTTATAAGAATTGCAATGATAATATTATAAAAATGTTTATTTTATTACCTCTACATTCATCAAATAATTGCATAGTTGAGATGTCAATTGGCAATTTATCAACAATATCTGGATCACCGGTTAATGTTTGATTGATATGTCTTGTGAATTCAGTTCTTTCATCTTCATTTATTGTATGTGAAACATTTTGACTTGATCCATGAACAGTGATTTTATGTTTGTTAACTGCAAATGCACTTTTATTACGTCCTGACCTTAGTTTTGCAATTGTCTAAATGTTTGGAATTAAATATATGCTTAATATAAATGTAAACTATCTATTATTATTATCATCATCAAATAAACAACACGTTGTATTTATATATTTACTTCGACAAATTCCTCAAGTTCAACTTTACCCGTAGAACTTAAGTCTATTTCTTTTAAAGTTGCTCTTATCTCATCATATGAACTACTTTCGCCCATATCTTGCAGGGCTTTCAGAACTTCTTTTTGTTCAAGCGCTCCATTACCATCAATGTCTAATTGACTTTATATTTTCCAATTTTTTAAAATTTTAATTGTAATATTCATGCAAAACAAATCAGAAAAAAAACAGCATAGCTTACTTGAATTGAGCGGTAATTTGAAGTATATCGTGTTGAGGAATTTGAGGAAACTTTTTGGCCAATTGCATTACATTCATTTTTTTTTTATTATATAAAATAAAAATTGATATTTGTCATAATGTGACGGACGATCTTGAAATATTATATAATTCTGTCGATCTTTTTTATTAATAAATTATCAAGATTCCTTTGTATGGTGTGCCATCTATGCTCTTAAAGAATTTACAAGTGACTTTAAACGTACCTAGTCCACAATTGTTTGATACAAAAAAAAAAAAGAAATAAACTGTAATGACAGATTAGGACATCTTCTTTCAAACTCTCGGTTTATTGCTTTGCTTGACTTGTCAACCAATAATCATGTATTTTTAAACCTCCTACTACGTATATATGATAAATTATGACATCATTTATATCACGTGAAGAAATTTGGCCAATAAAAAAATGTGAACTTGTTTAAAGAGGAGTGTCAAAATTGATTACACTTTTAGATCTCCGAGAAGTAAATCATATGAATTAAAAGATTTTGGCTCTATATAGTGAGTAACAGTGAAATGGGTGTTAATGAAAGCGGTTGGGATGATGTAGATGATATGGAGGAGATCAAAGAATCAAAACGCCAAATAGAATTAGCAAGGCTCCGAACAGATCGAATCAAAGTCAGATCAAAACAAAGATTGGATCGGATATTAATTGAAAATCATTTCGATCATATTAAATTTTCATTAGGAGTTTACTCAAAAGTTGCGTTTACTTGATTGATATTCATAGTCACGCCTACTTTAAGTCATATTATTAAATAGTTTTCTCATCACTTGTGGTAAAAGCGAACTTTTCATCAATTATACACATTATAAAATATGATAGAACACTTTTCAAAACAATAAATTATTAAAATCATCAACAGGAGGATCCATAAAAATTCAGATTACAGTCGAATCTCGTTATTATTATTATTATTATTATTATACTGTAATAACGAAAATATGAATTTGACCTCAATTGTCCATTATAATAATAACAAAGGAGTTGTAATTTTCTATCATCACGTGATATTTTTTATTATACAAAATACGAATGATAATAATTAATAACTAACAAATAATATTAATATAATAATAATACAGTGTTAAATAAGAAATTATTTTCGTTGGTTTAGATTGCTAAAATTATAAAGCTGATTTTTTTTTCTTTAATGTATGAAAGATGAGGAAGGACGTGATTTTTTTAATGCTTGCTTGATATGAATTTGGATCAATGTCAAGGCATTTGTCTGAATTTTTTAAGATATCAAATTCTTTGTTTAAATCAATATTTTTTTATTCAGTTATTAGATAATTTCATATTTTTAATGCAGCAGTAATGTTGGTTCCTATTAGAAAAATTGTTTTTTATGTTTCAAAAAATAATAATTGTCTGGAACTTGAGAATTAATGTTAAATTTTTTATGAAATCAATTCAATAATTTACTTGGATGATTTTTTATCATAAGTTTTATTTTTTAAAATATTCTCAACTGATTTTTATCATAAACTTTTTATTTTATAAATTTTATTTATTTATCATTTGAAATATTCTCAACTGATGAATTTTATCATAAGTTTTTTATTTCGACTGATTTTTTTATATCGTACGTCTTTTATTGTATAAT